CTGGTTTTTGTGCTCATGTGCGCTCTCTCTCTCCCTCTCCCTTCCCCCCCCCCCGCTCTTGAATTCTTTGCGTAACCAAAGTGTTTTCCAAATCGAGGCAGAAATATGCACCAAGGTAGCCAAGTCACTCGTCAGATCATCTGAGCTGAAGACGAAGGGAGTGAATGAAAAACAAAAAATGCAGATTTCAGGCAACATCTTGATTTTGCTCCGCTTGAGAGGAAAGCCGCAGGAAGGGACACCCCACAAACTTCAGGGGTCCTCTCTTGGCATGAAGCTTGGTGGTTGACTTAGGGCGAGTCTGCCCGCCTGCGGGAGTTAACCCCATGGTATGCTTACTTGGGAGTAAGCCTTACTGAACCCAGCGGGACTTACTTTGCGTAGATAGGGCTGCACTACGTCTTTCCTCGTTGGGCTGAACTGGGGATGAACTTCTGCCGTCCTGAGCTCTTTGAAGGAAATAAAGATTGTCATAAAACAAAATACTTTATTTTATTTCCGCTTGGATATCCAGCCACAGGCTAGCGCCGGAGCTGGAGTAACTTCTAACAGAGGTTGGTATTTCCAGTCAGAGGAAGGTTAGCAGGCCCATTGCTAAGGGGGCATGTGTGGGCAATGCCCCCTTAGAAATACACCATCCCTTCTCTCTGAATCCCAGCTTCCTCTCTTCATTTCTAAGTAAGACTGTAGCCTTTTCCCTTACGGAGATATAAACCAAAAGGTTCCAGCCCTTTCCCACAGAATTTCCTTGGAAGAATAGGGCACGGGAGCTCAGCCAGAGGAGGAGGAGGAGATTGGATTTACACCCCTTGGCCCTTCACTACCCAAAGGAGTCTCAGAGCGGCTCAAAAACTCTTTTCCCTTCCCCTCCCCACAACAGACAGCCTGTGAGGCAGGTGGGGCTGAGAGAGCTCTGACAGAAACGGCTCTTTTTCAAGGACAGCTCTTATCAGAACTACGGCTTGCCCAAGGTCATCCAGCCAGGTGCAAGTGGAGGAGTGGGAAATCAAACCCGGTTCTCCCAGATTAGAGTCTGCACACTTAACCTCTACACCAAACTGGCAAACACCCTTTGCTGGCTTGATGGATGAAATTTATGTGCTGCCTCTCCGGGGTCCTGCTCGATCCTTCTTTGTTCTGACCCCCAACCTTTTCTCCCAGGGGCCTTTGCTTCTTTCCTGCTTGCTTCTCTCTCCTTTCATGCTATCGGTGCCAAGTGAGATTGCTGGGTAGAAAATCCGAGCAAAGTTCATGCTAAGGCCGGGTTGCGTCCTCGGTTGGCAGGGAGGAATTTGCCGCCGGAGCGGGCTGAACCCGAGGAAGCAGCGGGGTACAAGCAGAAGGGCCGTCAGCAATGCTCCCTCTAAGCCGTGGAGTCTTGTGAGCCAGCAATTCGGCTGCTGCATCAATGAGTCTGCTCTGGAGCCCCGTCCTTCCGGAGCTGAGACAAAAACGTGTGAGCTGGAGGCTGAAGAACTGTGAGCTGGCTCACACTCACTCGGCTTAGAGGGAACACTGGCCATCGGGCTTCTTGGTGGTGGCCCCAGTGCCGTCAAGTTGCAGCTGTATTATGGTGAGCCTGTAGAGTTTTCAAGGCAAGAGACGCTCAGAGGGTCCCTTTGCCGGCCTCTGTGTAGTGCCCCTAGATCCAGGTGGGTCGCCCCATGTTGGTCTGAAGCAACAGCACAGAGTTTGAGTCCGAGGGGGGGGGGGCACCTTTAAGACCACTAAAGTTTAATTCTGGGCATCAGCTTTTGTGTGCAGAATAAAACTTTGCTCCAGTTTTGCAAGCTGAAGGTAGGCCTCACCAGGGCTTTTTTGGTAGAAAAAGCCCAGCAGGAACGCATTAGCATAATAGGCCACACCCAACAACAGAAACTCATTAGTATATTAGGCCACACCCCTGACAGCACAGCTCTTTGGCATATTAGGCCACACCCCCATGTTACCAGAAGTGCCGTCATCCAGCCACACCCACCTTTTGCTTCTTATTCTGTTTACCTTGTTTGTTGTCAAAACCCAGGGCTTTTTTGTAGCAGGAACTCCTTTGCATGTTAGGCCACACACCCCTAATGTAGCCAATCCTAATGAGTTCCTGCTGTTGGGTGTGGCCTATTATGCTAATGCATCCCTGCTGGGTGGGACGTAGGTCCACTGACCTGGGGCAATTTTTTGTTCTTAAGGCCTGACTTGCCACGTCGGGCCAAAGGTCTCTCTAGCGCAGCACTCCCTCTGTGTGTGTGTGTGTGTGTGTGTCAGCCAGGCGGGCAAAGGCGATTCCAACCTGACTCTCTCACTCTTCCCCCCCCCCCACCTCTGCCTTTGCAGCCCAAGGAACCAAAGTCCCCCAACATGAGCGGGAGGAGGAAGAGAAACGGTCCGGCTCTCCGGTGCATTCCAGGTACTGAGGAAGGGGCCGACGTTCGGGCCGGGGGGGAGGGGCTGAGACCTTGACCCTCAGGACGGGTGTGATCAGTGTTCCCTCTAAGCTGAGTCGGTGTGAGCTAGCTCACAGTTTCTTAGCCTGCAGCTCACCCATTTTAGTCTTCGCTCAGGAAGGACGGCTGCAGAGCAAACTGATTTATCCATTCCAGTTGCCCTTTTCTGCACTTTCCCCAAAGGGTATTCTAGCACTGGAGAAAAGTGCAGAAAAAGGCGACTAGAATGATCAAAGGGTTGGAACACTTTCCCTATGAAGAGAGGTTGAAGCGCTTGGGGCTCTTGAGCTTGGAGAAACGACGGCTGAGGGGTGACATGATCGAGGTTTATAAGATTATGCATGGGAAAGAACAGGTAGAGAGAGAGGTACTTTTCTCCCTTTTTCACAATACAAGAACTCATGGGCACTCAATGAAATCGCTGAGCGGTCGGGTTAGAAGGGATAAAAGGAAGTCCTTCTTCACCCAAAGAGTGATTAACACATGGAATTCACTGCCACAGGAAGTGGTGGTGGCTACAAGCGTGGACTGCTTCTAGGGGGAATTAGATAAGCATATGGAGCAGAGGTCCATCAGTGGCTATTAGCCACAAGGTATAGATGGGGACTCTGGGGCAAGTGATGCTCTGTCTTCTTGGTGCTTGGGGGGGGGGTCAACAGTGGGAGGGCTTCTAATGTCCTTGCCCCACTGGTGGACCTCCTGATGGCCCCTGGTATTTTTGGCCACTGTGTGACACAGAGTGTTGGACTGGATGGGCCATTGGCCTGATCCAACATTGGCTTCTCTTATGTTCTTATGTTAAGAGCAGAGGTCCCTCAATGGCTATTTGTCAGAAGGTATAGATAGGAACTCTCAGTCTGAAGAAGAAAAAGAAGAAGAAGAGATTGGATTTATACCCCGCCCTTCACTACCCGAAGGAGTCTCAGAGGGGCTTACAAACTCCTTTCCCTTCCCCTCCCCACAACAGACACTCTGTGAGGTAGGTGGGACTGAGAGAGCTCTTGACAGAAACTGCTCTTTTTCAAGAACAGCTCTTATCAGAACTAAGACTTGCCCAAGGTCACATCAGCAGGTGCAAGTGGAGTAGTGGGGAATCAAACCCGGTTCTCCCAGATTAGAGTCCACTCACTTAACCACTACACCAAACTGGCTCTCTGGGGCAAGTGATGCTCTGTCTTCTTGGTGCTTGGGGGGCGGGGGGCAACAGTGGGAGGGCTTCTAGTGTCCTGGCCCCACTGGTGGACCTCCACTGGCCTGATCCAACACTGGCTTCTCTCATGTTCTTATGTTCAGTTGCCAAATGGCTCGCTCACAGCTTTAATTCCAGGAGCTCACAAAGTAGAGTTTTTGCTCACAGGACTCCACAGCTTAGAGGGAGCATTGGGTGGGATCCTGAAGAAAGTGGGAGGGGTCACCTGTAGTCATTCGGGGCAAGATGGGTGTCGGTCTGTCTGCCGCAGCAGAAAAGATCCAGAGTCCAGGAGCACCTTCAAGGCCGGCCACATTGGTGGCAGGGGAGGAGCTCTCGTCGTGAGTCACCTGCAGTCACTTCTCCAGAGAACTCGTTCAGGCGCCTCTTTTGAGGAATCTCCGGTGGTTTCCAAACACAGCTGGTCTGCTCCTCCTTGCAAGGAGGGCAGAGGAGGTTAATGCTGCTCCACGCCACGCTCCACCGCGCAACGGTCTGGAGGCATTTGCTGGGCTGAGCGGGAACAATAGTCGCGGAAGCAGATGGTTCCCCAGAGGCCAGTGCTGCTGCTTGGCCACTCTCTTCGGCTTATGTAACCGGCGGAGAACAAAAGCCGCCAACAATACCGGTTGCCAGGGGAAAGGACTCTCGGAGCACGGCAGGCAGGCACGGGGTGGCCCGCCCTCAGCAGAAGCCCTTTCGGAGACGTTTTCAATAGTGGAAGTGTCGGCAGACGGCCCTCCTCCTGTTGCGGAAGAAAGCTTCCTCTGTGAAAGACCACTGCAGGGCCCCTTTCCAATTCCGTGGCCAGAGCCCCAGAAGAAGGGACAGTCGGCGACCCAGAGGAGTCAGCACCAGTGTTTCCTCTAAGCTGAGTTAGTGTGAGCCAGCTTACAGTTTTTTAGCCTCCGGCGCACACCTGTTTGTCTAGGCTCAGGAAGGAGGGCTCCAGAGCAGAGTGATTTATGCAGCAGCCCAATCGCTCGCTCACAACTTTTAATGCCAGCAGCTCACCGACCAAGTAGAATTTTGGCTCACAAGACGCCACAGCTTAGAGGGAGCAATTGGTCGGCACTTGTCCTGCGGTGCTGGCAGACTCGTTTTGTACAAAGAGGCACGCTGGGAGGCATGTGAGGTTGCCAACTCTGGCTTGCGAAATTCCTGGACGTTTGGAGGAGGAGAGCATAAGGACTTCTGAACAGCCCCACGGGGTCAGACCGGTGGTCCATCTGGTCCAGCTGTTTCCTTCAGGGGAAGGGGTCTCTGTAGTATCCACTGGAATGCCAGGAGACCCAAAGACCCCACCTGGAGGTTGGCAACCTAAGCAGCAGCAAAGACTAAGCCTGGTCGATGGGATCTGACTAGGGTCGCCAGGTCCAGGTTGGGGAACTCCTGGAGATTTGGGGATGGAGCCCTGGGGGAGGACAGGGACCTCAGTGGGGTAAAATGCCGTAGCGTCCCCCCTCCAAAGCATCCATTTTCTCCAGGGGAGCCGATCTCTGTCGTCTGGAGATGAGCTTGAATTCCAGGGGATCCCCAGGAGGTTGGCACCCCTAGATCTGACCGTCCTTCTAACCTTACACAAAGAGGGAGGAAAACAAGAATCCAAGGAGACAGGCTGACATAATCGGGGAACGAAGGTCCTCCCTGCCTTCGGGAAAGAAGGAAGCTCCGATTGTGGAGGTGTCGTTTGGGGGCACTTGGGGGCCGGAGAGATGCCTCCTGCCTTCCCCACATCCCACTTCTTTCTGGGGTGCCGGGGGTGTGTGTGTCCCTCAATGAGAAGTTCAGTCATGGCCAATGTTCCCTCTAAGCTGTGGAGTCTTGTGAGCAAAAATTCTGCTTTGTGAGCTACTGGCATGAAGGTTGTGAGCAAACAATTTGGCTACTGCATAAATTACTTTGCTCTTGAGCCCTCCTTCCTGAGATAAGACAAAAATGTGTGAGCCGGAGGCTAAAGAACTGTGAGCTGGCTCGTACTAACTCAGCTTAGAGGGAACACTGGTCATGGCAGAGACATTTCCCTCAAAAAAAAGCTTGTCCAATCTCTCTCTCTCATTCGAGAGCCAGTTTGGTGTCGTGGTGAAGTGGGTGGACTCTAATCTGGGAGAACCGGGTGTGATTCCCCACTCCTCCTCCACTTGCACCTGGCTGGATGAGCTTGGGCAAGCTGTAGTTCTGACAAGAGCTGTCCTTGAAAAAGAGCCGTTTCTGCCAATAGCTCTCTCGGCCCCACCTGCCTCACAGGGTGTCTGTCTGTTGTGGGGAGGGGAAGGGAAAGGAGTTTGTAGGCTGCTCTGAGACACCTTTGGGTAGTGAAGGGCCATGGGGTATAAACCCAGTCTCATCCTCCTCTTCTGTAGCAGCTTTTTGTCCTGCCCTTCTTTCCAGGAGCTAAGGCCAGCGTAGATCCTCACAGCAGCCCTGTGAGGTGGGCTAGGCTAAGGGAGAGGCTGGCTCAAGGCCACCCGGTGAACTCCCGTCCTTGTCCGACAGGATGCTGAGCTGGGGACTGGCCGTGGGCAGGGACTGGCTTCTCCCGAGGTCCCTCTGGGGTACCAAAGAGGGCAGGGCGGCACTCCGATGGCCGGGGAGGGGCCGTGGCTCCGTGGTCGAGCTGGGAGACGAGAGGGTAGCCCAGGTTGCTCTGCGGCCGGACAGCCCCATTGGAGTCCCACAGAGACCAAGGTGATTTCCGGGGCTGGAGTCCTTGAGAGCCAGGACTCCCTTGGTCTTTCCAACTTGTCGCTGACGAATGGAGCGTTGAGTCTCAAAAGCTCATAATACCACCACCACCCCCCCAATTTTTTTGTTGGTGTCTGTGGTGCTCGGAGGACTTGAATCTAGCTGGAGAGGAGTGGTCATTCCAGGGGAACTCCAGGCCCCACCTGGAGGATGGCAACGGTTCCTGCTCCACACGGCTCCGCTCTCCGTGGGAGAGAGGTGAAAGGCCTGGGGTGGACCTGGAAAGGGAGTGTCCTTTTGGCCAATGATTAACCGGAGCCCCTGCAAAAACCGAGCGGCTCCCTTCCTGATCCTGGGGCCTGGGTGTCTCTCAAGCAGACGGGTTTGTTCCGCGACACCGCAGTTGCCTGGACACCGGGGGTTGTGGCTTCAAGGACAAACCACCGGGGCTGTGGGTGTTTGGCAGCGGCTTTTGTGTGAAGTAGACCTCGTCTGAGAGAAGCCAGTCCAAGTCACCATAGCCAGACTCTCTCTCTCTCTCTCTCTCTCTCTCTCTCTCTCTCTGTGTGTGTGTGAAGAACAATTGCTGGGAAGCACTGCTTCCTCTAAGCTGTGGCGTCTTGTGAGCAAAAATTCCACTTTGTGAGCTGCGGGCATTAAAGTTGTGAGCGAGCGATTTGGCTGCTGCAGAAATTGGTTTGCCCTGGAGCCATCCTTCCTGAGCTGAAACAAAATGTGTGAGCCAGAGGCTAAAAAACTGTGAGCTGGCTCACACTCACTCAGCTTAGAGGGAACACTGCTCCTAACCACTACACCAAACTGTCTCTACACCACTACATCGTCTGGCTGCCTTGGCCTTACCCATAAGGTTGTCCAAAGAGCATGCTTCCTGCAAGAAAAAACTGTCTGGAAACTTCCGTTGGCCCAGAATGCAGCAGCCAAGCAGCCAAGTTATATTGTCAGGGGCTATAAGAACATAAGAGAAGCCAGTGCTGGATCAGGCCAATGGCCCATCCAGTCCAACACTCTGTCTGTCACACAGTGACCAAAAACACCAGGGGCCATCAAGAGGTCCAGCAGTGGAGCCAG